CTATACTTCGATATTAAGAAAGCCTTTGATAAAGTACCTCATAATCTTCTAATCAACAGACTGAAGTCAGTTGGAATCATAAATCCCCTTTTGCAATGGATCAAGTCTTTTCTTACGAACAGATATCAAATAACCAAGATTAACTCTAATACATCTACACCTCGACCGATAACCAGTGGTGTTGTGCAGGGTAGTGTCTTGGGTCCATTGCTCTTTATAATCTACATCAACAATATATGCAGGTGTTTCAGCACAGGTAAGACCTACCTCTATGCCGATGACTTAAAAGTCATCTATAAAACTGACATTTGCGATTTACGCAGTACTATGCAAACAATCTAACATGAACTCAACATGGTAGATGACTGGTGCAAACGCTGGAGGCTAGAGCTCAACATAGAGAAATGCGGCTGGTTATGCATAGGAGACACGTCTCTTAAAATGAAACTAACAATTAGCGATCACACACTCCCCAGACTGGCATCAGTAACTGACCTAGGGGTACATTATTCACACAGTCTTAATTTCTCTGAACACATCACAGCCAAAGCATCCAAAATGCGGAAATTGCTTGGCTTCATTCTCCGTAATTTCTATCAAAATGAATCTAAAATCCTTCTTTACAAAGTTTGTGTAAGACCTGTCGTTGAATACTGCTCGTTCTTATTTTCCAACCTACGTCTATCTGATATACTAAAGGTGGAAGGAATACAACGAGACTTCACCCGCAAAGTACTTAAGACTGACTCGGTCATTGACTACAGTTCTCGATGCCAAATCTTAGGAATAGCACCCCTTTGGGAGAGAAGGCTTAGGTCTAATTTGATTCTCTACTTCAAACTATTCAAAAACCTTACTTACTCAACATGTCAGATAATTCTTGCCCGAGATATACATGAATACGAACTTCGAAACAAAGTATCTACGGTCAAAGTTGAGAAGTACAGATCAAAAACTTCTTCCTCACCAAGTATGCAATAATATGGAACAGTCTTCCTTCCGAGACTCGCATGGCAGATGAACTACATACGTTTGTGAAACTGCTTGATCAAGCCCTCACTCGCACTGATCTTGCACGTACGAACACATTTGCACCCCACTCAGACATCATAGGCTCTCTCCATGTCTAGACCAAAATGGACTTCAAGTTCAGTTTGCCTTATTTTTCCTGCTTTGCAGTTGTATTAATTACTTTTTCCACCCCATTTCTTCACTTGAAGTAGACAGGTAACTCACTGGACCTATCATTACTGTTAAACTAAACTCGGTTGATAAGGGACACTCACTACCACCCTAAAAAGTCAAGAGGACCCCACAATCGGCTGCCTACTACCAGTGGTCTTGCATCTATGGAACCTGTTACCAATCAACTGGTTAAGACAACAGAAAATAACATCAGCACCAAGTTACTGTGAGTTCCTTCCTGTTTATCCTATATTAACTTTTTACTCTTCTGTACACAATGTTGACTAGCAATTAATATTATTTCTCCACTCGTTCCCTTATCCACAACTCATACTTCTATACTTTTTCCGCCTGCTTAAATAAACAACTATCCTACAATATACCCTTCTTAACGCTTATACTCTGTTTGGCAAACTATACTTTATACTATAGTCAACAGAGGCACTGCATCGATGCTTTACCCACAGTCCACAGCTTGTAACTGCCTGATAAGCTTGTAAAATGGTACTTATAGAAATAGTGCTTTCCAACAAGTTGTGGAACAGAGGATTGTGTGAGGTTTGACGTATATACAAAAATAAGCTTAAATGAGCCTAACATCACAAAAGGAGGGAGGGTGGAGTTACTGACCAGCAAGCATTGATGGTGAGGGCGATAACTTCAATCCACCCGTGTTTGTGGGGACAGAACATTTTGTATGTATCAGGCTCTTTATAATTGAGAATAAGACAGTCAATCTGAGATATAGATTGTCTTCCTACGCTCACCACTCAGACTCATGTTTCCAATAATATGCTGGATTAGCTATTCTACTAAGACAACCTATAACATGCTAACTCGGACTTTTACACTAGGATTACGTGGCTGACATCGGATGGACAAAAAAAGAAAAGAAAAAAGACAATAAAAGATATAGTCACTAGTATTCTTAACACTTCACCCTCTATATACACACCCTTCTAATAAACCGCTTCCCTTGTACCAACCTTGACTTCCCTTCCTTCATGTGAGCTTACTCCAACTTGTTAAACATCACTACTCGTTGTTCTTTATTAGTACATTTTCTAACATGGAGCCTCTGACTTCACTTCACTCTAACAAGACATAATATGAATTTATTCTAATTTATTATACCTCTGTCCGTTCTACTACACAATGTTAAGCAACCTTTGGCGTTCACATGCAAGTGCCTTGCTGCTCCTCTGTTTCTTTTTTTTTCTCCTTCAGAATCTTGCTCTGAGAGCACAGCTATGAAACTTCTGACGTTTGGAGCAAACTTGACGTACGCGTCCTCTCAAGGTCATAGTTTACAGCAAGCGCTCTACGATTTCACTTTATAACAACTATAAACTTAATAAGTTGGGAAGCATTTTGCGAACCAACAAATGTTGTAATTTATAGATCATGCCTGTAAAAACGGTGTGTACCTGCACATGCAGAAATATATTATTATATTACTAACTGTGATTGGATTGGTGCATGCTGTGTTATACCGGAGAACCTTTCTCTTCCCTTTGTGTATATTGAGACCTACTGCTGCCGAGGATGCTGCTACACTGGTTGTTTTCTCCTGCATTTGTTGTTGCGTTTGAGATAGGAGGGCCACATCATCTGCGAAGTCTAGATCGTCCAGCTGCATCCTAGATGTCCACTGTATCCTGCGCTTCCCTACAGACGTTGACGTCTTCGTGATCCAGTCGATCACCAGGAGAAAGAGAAAGGGTGAGAGTAAGCAACCTTGCCTGACACCGGTTTTTACGTCGAACGAGTCTGTCAATTGTCCTCCATGCACGATTTTGCAGTGTAATCCATCATATGAATTCTGTATGATATTGACTATCTTCTGAGGCACGCCGTAGTGTCGAAGAAGTTTCCATAGTGTTGTCCTGTCCACGCTATCAAATGCTTTCTCATAGTCAATGAAGTTGATGTAGAGTGATGAATTCCACTCAATCGATTACTCCACAATGATCCGTAGAGTTGCGATTTGGTCTGACTGGTCCTGACTGTTGGTATCGTAGTTGAGCGTCTACGCAGTCCTTCATCCCGTTTAACAATACCCTGTTGAAGACTTTTCCCGGTATTGAGAGAAGAATGATGCCTCTGTAGTTATCACACTTGCTGAGATCGCCTTTCTTCGGTATTTTGATCAGAAGTCCTTCTTTCTAGTTTGTTGGTACTTGTTCCTCATCCCAAATCTTATTGAAGAGAATGAGGAGTATCCTTGCAGCTGCCACTACGTCTGCTTTCAGTGCCTCTGCTGGAATGTTGTCTGGTCCTGCTGCTTTGCCACTCCTGATTTGTCTGATGGCCATGCTGATTTCTTCAATTGTTGGTGGGCCAACATTGATTGGGAGGTCCGTGGGTGCTACTTCGATGTTGGATGGGTTCAGTGGGGGTGGTCGATTCAAGAGTTCTTTGAAGTGTTCTACCCACCTGTTTTGTTGCTCTTCAATGTTGGTGATTACCTCGCCTTCCTTGCTTTTTACTGGTCGTTCTGCTTTGCGGCGATTTCCAGAGAGTTTCTTTGTCGTGTCATACAGTTGTCTCATGTTTCCTTTTCTTGCAGCCTTTTCCGCCGTCGTTGCTAAATCTTCCACATATTTACGTTTGTCGGTTCTGATGCTCCTCTTCACTCGTTTGTTTACTTCTGTGTATTCAGCTTGTGCCTTGGCTTTTTCTGCTCTTGTTCGGCTGGTGTTGATTGCTGCCTTCTTGTTCTTCCGTTTTTGAATCTTATCCAGTGTATCAACAGTTATCCACTCCTTGTGATGGTGCTTCTTGTGGCTCAGAACCTCATGACATGTTGAAGTGATTGCCTCCTTGATCCCCTTCCAGTTGCTCTCCATAGTAGTTCCTTCTCCATTCAGTAGATCGTGAAGGGCCTGGAACTTATTGCTAAGGGCTATCTTGAATTTGTTGAGTTTGTCAGTATCCCGAAGAAAAGCTGTATTGAACTTTTGTGGTGTTGTCCGCCCCGATGTCCAGTGCATCTTGAGTTTCAAATTCATCTTGGCGACTAGCAAGTGATGATCTGATGCTATATCAGCTCCTCTCTTGGTTCTCACGTCCTCTATAGTCCTCCTGAACGTTTTGTTGATGCAAATATGATCGATTTGGTTTTGCGTGGTGTGATCCAGCGAAGTCCATGTAATTTTGTGAATGCATTTATGTGGGAATATAGTGCCACCTATGATCAGTTTATTGAAGGCACATAAGTTTGCAAACCTCACACCATTTTTGTTCCTTTCTCCCAGTCCGTGTCGTCCACCGTTACTTGATTGGCTTACTTCATATCTAATTGATCGACTTTTTAAAGTCATGGTAAATTTCACTTGGGCTAAAAATGTCCTAATGGGATCCGTCAGGGTTTAAAACTAGGACCTCTTCTTTTCTTGACTTATATAAATGGCCTTCCACAAGAAGTTTCGTCAGATTTATTACTTTTCACTGAAGATGAGTAATAGCATCCTTAACACTCCTGGATATATCCCGCCACCAAACTTAGGGGTAACACCCAGGAATTGGAGGCACAACACATGGGAATACTTTTCACCCTTTACGAGTAGCCAAATGCTGGGATTCGCTTCTGGTTGGGCTCTTTGAAGCGGCTTTTCAGAATTTCTATAAGAGGAAACTTGATATATTTTTATGGACTAGGGATAGCGTCCCACTATGCTTTAATAGTGTTTTCCTCCCACTTTATCGTTAACTATACCTAGGTTCTTACTAGGAGGCATCAAAGATCCACTGCTACGAGATATGGAAGCCCGTTGAGCGAGAGCTTCTTCTATTCCGTCGAGAATCATTTGAAGGTCGTTGGAACAGAAGAGAGGTAACTTCAACCTCAAGGTGGAACGCTGGTAGGGTGAGTAGTTATATTCTTCGTTTCGGTGGTGCGGGGGTTAATTTCTTAGAACCATTGTCATTATGATAGTCATTTCTGTGGGATATAATTTATGAACGACCCTTAAGCGACTCTAGAGTGACATTAAAAGTGTTCACATCATCCTTAACACTTTTGGACATCTCCTTATTCACCTACCTTACCTTAGTCTCAACACAAACCTTAGAGGTAACACCCAAAAAACGGGGGCACATAACAGCAGAGCGGACTGTAGACACACTTCTAGCTCTCTTAAAAGTAGTTCAATGTTGGGGTTCGCTGCCGGCTGAGCTAGTCCAAGCGACTTCCTAGGAGTCTTTTAAGAGAAAACTTGACATATTCTTAAGGACTAAGGACATTATACTTATGTTTTACCAATTTCTCATCGTTAACATGCCTAGGTTCCTACCTGGAGGCATCCGTGATCTACTGCTACTAGATACGGAGGTCCGTTAAGCGATAGCCAACTGAGGTTAAATTTGAGATTATAACTAAGGTTAAGGTTGAGCTAGCGTTAAAATGTTTCAGAACTGCTAGTGAGCGCCAATTCTTTTCTTCAAACTATAACATTTGGGAACATATAGCCAATATAGACAATTTAATTTATCACGCAATAATAACGTATTCATGGATTTTATTCCATTTGGTACTGTAATTCATTTTTCTACTGTTTTCTATTCAATCGAAATCTCTCTGAATTCTCTCATTCTGAGGACTATGATTAAAATCAGCCAATAAGTTTGATTTGATCTAAACATAATTTTGTCTCACTGCCGTTAATGTTTATGCCCATACTTTATTTTTTAGTGAATCGAGTTTTTACTTATCATTAATATTAGGTTTTGTTTGAGTATAAAACCAGGTTAGGACAGTTACTGATGTTTGGTAGCATCTCATTTAATGGATCTCTATAGAAGCGGTGATGTGAATGCGGCGAAACTGTTATTCATCTCTTTCCTTACTTTGTTTGCATAAATATGTAAGGCTTGTGTTCTTCATTAACTAAGACTTACAGTATGTCTTTTTTGTAGGACCATTCATTATCTTTAAATATGTACCGATCTGGCTTACTTATTTTGTCACCGCATGTGCACTCTCAGAAGTTATTCTCTTTGTTAAAATATGTTAGCAATGTGGTGAATGAAAAGCTGTTTTTAGCAATTCCACGAAGTCCTTCAGATTTTATGTTTTGGAAAAAGACGGCTACGTTGTGTTATACAACCGCATGTAAGGTTGGTTTTATGTCTAATATGATTTCATTTAACCTACAGGTTTGCCCATCACTAAACGTCTGTCTTCTTCTTCCTACCACCAAGTATACCAAGCCTTCGGTAAAGTTTGATATTGTAATTTCACCGGAATCTGAATTTAGTCCCGTTTGGATTTTAAATGAAGCCCACAATATCAATCCACTTTACGGTGATCGTGTTATGTATGCTACCATAGGCAAGACATTTTAATCTTTTTATTAAATTGAAAGATATTTTACAAGTAAACTTTTGGTGGTTTTAGTTATTTTATAGTAGAGAGAGTGTGATGCTGTATCAAGTACTGTAATTAGTTGAGTTTAGTTACCTTACTAACAAAATACCAAGTAATATGCCATCTCAAATGATGTGCGCCATTTGACTATTGATCAAGTAATCAAATATAATTTGCCAAAGTAGACTTAAATGCAATCTGGTTCAAAGTAAAGTGTTCAGAAAACCGTATCACAAATCTTTAAAAGTTGCGAATTCTACCACATTTAATGTAATACAAGCTTGGTGATATCTATTTGGAACAACAGATATAAGCGAACAATTGTTTTCAATTAGATCGTCATCAGGCTTTACTCTAATATACATGAATATTTATACGAAAATGTTAAACCAATCAAGGCAATATGGGTCAATAATCACAATGAAATAGAATAGGTCACCACACATAATAAGTAAAATTACAAGTTGATAGTAGGAAGAAAGGCGTACTGATAGTAGTAATAATAATAAAATACGATAACGAAAGTCTTATCAATAGTTAAACGTTGGAAATAGAAAGTCAAACGTGGGTAAACAGACTTGGAATAGTCAACACAAAACATTGAAATCATTACGTAATAAGAAGTGTGTAAATACTTAGATAGTGAAGAATACAAACGGCAAGAGGCGGAAAATTACAAATAAATACTTGATGTGAAAATAAGGTTAATGATAACAAAAATAGAATAAAATAAATAAATAATAATGATTTTAAGAGAAATATCGTTAGTTAAGTTATAACTGGTTATGTTTTGTGTTGACTATTCCAAGTCTATTTACCCACGTTTGACTTTCTATTTCCAACGTTTAACTATTGATAAGACTCGTTATCGTATTTTATTATTATTACTACTATCAGTACGCCTTTCTTCCTACTATCAACTTGTAATTTTACTTATTATGTGTGGTGACCTATTCTATTTCATTGTGATTATTGACCCATATTGCCTTGATTGGTTTAACATTTTCGTATAAATATTCATGTATATTAGAGTAAAGCCTGATGACGATCTAATTGAAAACAATTGTTCGCTTATATGTGTTGTTCTAATTTTCACAATGGGAGTCTTTAGTATATATATTTGTCACAGATTTCAATAACAGTTTACATATTACGAGTAAAATGCCGTGTAGTGATTCAAAAATAAACTGTCATTTTGTATTCTGTCACTGATTTTTAGTTCTCATTCTATAAACATGCTAATGTTGTAAGCTTACTATGAGTTGGCTAGTACGTTTTACTTCTTTGATTCACTTGGAAAGTGTGAGAGTCATTGAATTGCGGTTCCACCATCTCAATATGGTTTTCATTCATTTACTTGTCGGTTTTACGACTAGTGTACCATACCAACCAAATCGTTGCATCTAGTGAATACTGCTTCGTTTAATAAAACTGATGTCCATAGTAAGCCTTAAGTATTAAAACCCTTCAAGATATCTCAAACATATGGTTTTCTTTGAAGTTGTCTTTCAGGAAGTATTTGGTGATTTTCTCAAATTGAGTTGTCTAAATGTGTATGGTCAACTGAAATTCCTGTTACTGTCTTGATACACCAATCTTTAAAGTAAGATCTTTTATAATATACTTGTTAGTAATCAGGTCGTGAGTATATACTACCTTGTGTTTCCAGGATATAAGACCCTGTCATACTTCCCTTGTGGTGTTTATGCATGCTTCTTTAATTTTTTGTTATGTATATTTGTGAATAAAACTTTTTTCATCTGTGTAGATAATTCTGAATCAAACCTACCAATTACTGATGATCAGATAAGTGTTGCGTCATCAGATGAATCATATGAGGATATCTCCCGTGTATGTCTTGGTGGTACTTTTGATCGGTTACATTATGGACATAAAATTCTACTTACCGTTGGTGCTCTGTTGGCTAAAGAACATTTGCTTGTTGGTGTAACATGCTCTGATTTACTTTCAAGTAAATGTCTTAGCCCACTGATATTTTCTTGGGAGAAGCGCAGTAAAATTGTTCAAACTTTTCTCAGTGATATAGGCGTACAGTCTAAAATTATGAAAATTGTTAAATTATCTGATAAATTTGGTCCACCTGGAAATTCTGCAGAATTTGACTGTATTGTAGCCAGCTCCGATTCTTTAGATGTGAGTTGTTTTTGATAAAAAAAATTATATAATTACTCTAAAATACTTTTGTAATGTTTGTCGGTTGTTACCATGATTTAATTTTAAAATCATATTTAGCAAGGAAAATAGTAGAATTTGATGGAATTATTTTTACATTGTTCACGTATATGCTTTTTATCTTTAACAGGCAACACTTAAAACGTATTTGTTAAAATTTGTTATTCCATCCAATAAGTACTTTACAAAATTTAAGGTGCATAAATATAATCCCCTTCAGAATACTCCGTCTTTTGTGCTGATAAAGTATTCTAATCTATTTTCCCCTTGTTTAAACCATCTTTGGAAACCCTCAAAAATCAGACTCAGTTACCTCATCTTTCCGCTTTTCTCCAGAACCATTTACATATATTTTCTCTAATTATGTACATCAGCAATCTTTCGGACAATGAATAGGCAATCAGAAAGCACAAGAGACCTCAAATGTTCTATTTTTGTATCAATGTAGGATGTTAACGTTTGTCTTGGCTTTTCATCATTCATGCAGTCTTCACAGCTCTTACTAAAACTCCTAGTCTACATGATACAATGTTTTTTCAATGTGTTATCTTTACATACAGCCATCAAATATTTCACGAATTTTCGACTGTTTAACGAGTTTTACTATAAACATCAGAAACTCAGTTCGTATATTTATTAAATGGATCTTATATTTGCTTAAAAATAGCTTGATACTTTCATTACTATGTCAGTGTTTTTTCGTTGACGTTCAGCAAGACAGCTCATTGTATAACGATATATGCTTGCTAGTGAAAACATTAAAACACACTCGATTATATTTTGTTTGACAAGTAACATTAATAGTAATAATAGATGGAATCTATTGTTTTTATTGAATAACGTAATTCGGTACATATTAAATTACAATTGATCCTTCCAGAACAATTAAACTGTTCCGTTATGGGGAGTAAAATGTTGGAAATTTTTTTGAAAAATAACTTTCTTCAGCAATTAACATTAGATTACTGGTCTAAAGATAATCTACTCTCCACCTGACTTGAATGTTTTGAGTTTGGTCTTGTTAAGAGGGCTGTGGTTGTTCATTGTTAAGGAGTTTCAAATGATATAATGAAAAAACCACTCAGCTCTTAATGTCCAATAACTTTCCAGCTGGTGTCAGTTGTCGCAGAAAGAAACCTTGAACTAAACGTTTACAAATCATCTAACTAGACAAAGTTTTGACCTGGTAGTCAAAAATGTACACATATGTAATTAATTATTTATAACAAGCTTCTCACTGATATTATGCTGAGGATTTTTCAATCTTCATATCATTACCAATAGAATTGTGAAAAATTGAATGAATTACGACGTGTGAATGGATTTAAGCCGTTAAAAATTGAAGTGATCAATTTTATATGTTCAGCTAAGTAAGTTAAACATACATTTTAAATGCTTTTTTCCCTCTCCAAATTTTTTTAACCTACTTATTAAATTCAATGTATTTTTGTTTTTAGCTGTTTAATATACTTGGTTTAGATTTCTGTTTTAACTGTGTGTCTTTTTTTTCAATGCTTATGAAATTACAGAAAAGCGTCTTATTCGAATATGTACAACAGTAAATCTCAATAATACATTTAAATTGAATTGATTTGACTTGAACTTGTACACGATCAAATCTTCTCTGATTGGCCTAAAGATTAGGCGTTTACGCATGAGATTGAAGGTTTTAGGTCCGATTTCCTGTCGTAAATGAATACTGTTGAGAAGTCCTATCCAGTACTTACAGGTTTTTAGTCGTTGTCTAGCTGAGATCTGTTCGTGGTCTCGATAAGATTTAAACTAGATGAAGACTTTTTTCAATGCTTTTTTGACCCTACACATTAAAATGCTGGGAACAAAAATGGATTTAATATTGTTAGAAAAAAGATCTGTCGGAAATCAATAAAAGTAAATAATAATAATAATCCAAAAATGAATGGTGGAAAACTTTTTTATGGAAAGGCTGTCTCTGATTCAAGTCATTTATGAAATGTGACACATGGTTATAAATTTATATAAGGACATAAATCGTAAAATGATAAAAGCCTGCTCTTATAAAATCTCAGCGTAGATTCAGATATAGTTTTTATTGCTTTCTTATGTAACAAATTCTCATCTGTCGTGTTTATCTCCCATCTTGACTTGTGCAAATCACAGTTTCCCGTTGCGAGTACTGGTTTCTCAGATTCTATCAATCAAAATAGAAAGGGTGGGTTTTGAAATGTAAGTATATTTCACTGAACATTCTCTAAAAACACGGTACTTAGGTCTATGATTGTCTATTGATCGGTTGCAAAAGTTCAGCTGTAACTTAATTTCAATCAGACTAACTTCTTTGTTGGTTCTTTTGTAATATCAAGGGAGACTATAGGAAAAAGGGTGAAGCCAAATTGTGCTGACAAACCTGGGGAAATTATTATTAGCTAATAAAAAAACTGTAGCTACAAAACAAAAATTAACTAGATTACGGTGGACAAGTATTTTTGATGTAAATTGTAAACCCCATGTTGAGTTATTATAGTAAGCAAAAATGGGTTAGGGTTAGAGCTGTGATTATGATTTGGGTGGGTGTTTAGAGTTGGGAAATATTTTTTAATGGTTAAATCCATAATTCGATTTAGGCTAGACCACCATGGAAAACCTGGATGGCCGTTTCGTCCTAGTGACACCTTAGCAGTATGCATCCATGATCCCGCACGCAGGACTCAGACCTAAGGCCTTAGGTCTCGCACGCGAACTCTTAACCTCCAGATCACTGGGCCGGAATCCAACAGTGTTAATGTCTGATGTCAACCAGTCCAGGTTTCCCATGGTGGTCTCACTTAAATCGATACATCAATTCAACCATTAGATTACTGTGATCTCCATAAACCTCTATTCTGAGAAATATTTTTTATCCATAAAAACATCATTGACTCCGCCCTGAATTACAAGTTTGCTCATATACAGCCTACATCAGAAACATTTTTTTATTGTAAGTTTGCTCACTTGTCATGCCGCATTCAACGATGTGGTCACACAAAAGATATTTTTTTAAAACGTAAACAATTTTTGGACTAGATTTAGACAATTCTTATTTAGTTTCTAATAAAATAAGTACTACCTTCAGGTGTATCGTGAACTTCGCACAAAAACCTAAGAAGTGCTATCGTAAATCTGATCAGTTTACTTAAGGTTGTCAATATGATTTGATTTTACTCAAATAATTATTGATCTGATGCGGAATTTTAATTTAATTTTATTGAAAATATTTCTATGTAGTTAGTGCTCCTAAAAAGTCTAATTTTGCATTATTAAAAACACTTTACATCCGTGCTACATTATTGTATTGGATGAAGGATTAGGTAAGGGAAGGGAGAGCAATGTCAATCCAATTTCAGTTGGTACGTTCTTTCTAGATGCTGTCAGAATATTTTACTTTGGAAATCTAAATCGAGAGTAGTGTTATGGCGTAAAATTCTATAGTTTGATAAATTAATTTCCGATTATTAAAATAAAACAAAAATAATTCTGATCAATAGATAATCTACAATGATATGAATTGACCGAATGATGGTTACAGTGACAAAACTGAATTATTAACGTAAGCTACCAATTGAACTGATATCCAAAGACAAAACAGCTATCCAGTTGAATCAATCATTTTTATGTAATACAAGAAAACGACTAGATATCATAGATTTCTGGACAAAGTTCATTTTGTAAGTTTCTCATTAATCAATGATTAGGGGCCTAACTGTTAGACTTCTACATAGCATCAAATCGTTGCAGTGCAAATTTCCCATTTTGTTATCGCATATTTGTAATGTATCTACCATTCTGATGAAATTACTCAGCAAATTTGGGATTCAGTAGTCTAAAGATTAAGCTGTAATAAATCAAATAATATTTTTGAGCTTCCTTTGCTTACTCTTGGATTCTAACAGTCAGTTCTTGTGATTTGTGAATCTATAGCTTATGTTATATAGAAATATCTTGATTATCAATAAATATGTCTGTGTTACACTGTTGTTATTAAACTGGAATATCTTTATACTATTACTTCCTACTTTTCAACAGGATCTCCAACGAATATAAAGCCTATCCTTTTGACTTGTCGGATTTAAAGTTATGTTCTTCAAAACTTCGTTTCAATGAACTAGGCAGTCTGTTAAAACCTGTTAATAATATAACTGTAAACAATTCATGTAGTCCATATTTGATTGGTTTAACAGGACCGTCTGGTTCTGGTAAATCATCATTGGCTAGACGACTCGAACATTTAAGTGACCAAGTTCATGTAATCGATTGTGATCGTCTCGGTCATGAAGCATATATGTAAGTGCTTGTAAATGACATTAATTTTGAATGATTTAAAGAATTTCTTGTACAATACTGAAAAAACTACTCTCTCTCTATTTTTTAATTAGGTTGGTTGATAGTGTTTCATAACAGGTAATATTCTCTAGTTTCAGTGTACTAATTTTTCGTGAATTGAAACTGGTGATAGTCAGACTTAAAAGGTTCCTAAACTAAAACATTTTAATGTTTAGGTTTGTGATTTTTAGATCAGTTTTTCCCTTACCGTTAATTTTATCTGAACAGAGTATCTCAGCAGAAACTAGGTATAAAATGTATAATACACTTAAATTTAGTAGTGTATCGTCAGAATAAGTTGAGTTCTTGCATCTAGGTAGCTGTTTTATTGCTCAGGCTAATTTGATGGACAAGATCAAGTCGAATGTAGTGAAAGCAAAACTTTTTCCATTTCGTGTCACCTTTTGTACCGTCACGACGTTTTTCTATCTGAAAAAGATCAGGTATGCAACACATGCAGCTTCACCCTGTTTGTGAAACATACCCCCTCTGGGCGCTGATGACTTAGTTTTTTATGGTAGTTGATTTGACGGAATTGCTCAGATGGCGAGATTCAACGTTGTAGTTGGTTAATGTTAAGATTGTGATTAAATGTATTCGTCTTAAAACACCAGGTTCGCTGACTGGGTCGTATTTTACGCATGTCATCTAGCAGACCTCCGCTCTGAGCATCATTTATCGATGTTGTGTATGTAGTCCTGCAGATGATGTTATTCAGTCGTTTGTGAAACATTCACAAAATGACTGACAGTAGATATCTCTTATTCAGTGAACAGCTATCCATTCTGAATGGTAACCATACCTCGTTTAAAATTAAAATAAGAATGTCAATCTACCTGGAAGTTCCCAACAGTATTATTTTGTATAGGTTTATTAATCCCCTGAAGAAGTTGACTTTTCTATATGAAGTATCAGTGTTTCATTTAGTAGTGACTCCTTTGTTATCGGTACTGTTTATATTATTTCCAAATATTTTGTTTTAAAAAATACCTCAAATAGATATTGCTTTTTTGTCGCTTGAATCTACAGTCCTGGTACTCCTTGCCACCAAGCTCTTTTGTCTCATTTTGGACGAGAAAAAATAGCATCTCCAGTGCCACCCTATGCAATAGACAGAGGCCTACTAGGAAGGCTAGTTTTTTCTGATCCTGCTCAACTGAAAGATCTGAATTCCATAGTTTGGCCTGAAATATTAAAAAAAATTCTAACAGTTGTAAAAGAAATAGAATGTAAAGCATTAGAACAAGATCGGGATCCTAAACGTCCGGTTATTATTATAGATGCAGCGGTGCTTTTACAGGCTAGGTGGGATGAAATGTGCCACGAGGTACGTTCTATTCATTATATTGGTTACTTTTTTATTAACATTGCACCTTAGACAACTACTAAAGACTAAGGAGGACTGGACAGCTGTTTCATTCTAGTATGGGACTGGCTCCTCAACGGTGCGCAGCAAAGACCCCGTCGGGGATCAAAACCGAAGCCTTGAGTTGTTTAATTGTAGATATATTTTCGTGTCTTGAATAAATTGTATGTTATTATCGTCTTAACAGTGGCAATAAAGTATTCGTATACGGAACCATGAAATATGGTAGTAATCAGATAATAGGGACCCTAAGATCTCTTTTCCGAGGATTTATCATGTGAATTATAGTTTTTTGCAAGAGGCTAACCAAAATGCATGACAGTAGAATTAACCAGTCCTTCTACCCTAGATTTACAGTTTAATTAAACACACATGGGTGTTATATTAGTGGTCTAAATGTGAGTGCTGCTACAGGTACTCAGCACTAAATGTAGTGCAAATGTCAACTTACTCAGTAGTTGATGCTGGAAAACATACGACAGAATCCAAGACACGGTCCGGTCTGCTAGGGGGTCGCCACGTTTATTGACTAATAGACAGATGAACGGCCCATAGTTGACCAAAGACGTTCAGAATGTGTTGAACTATTTCAACCTCAAATTTTTTCAATCTTCAGGTATGGTTAACAGTTTTATCCCAAACAGAAGCTCAGCGCCGGCTGTGTGAGAGGAACAATTTAAGTCCGGAAGCAGCATCAGAACGTCTTGCACGACAAGCTTCTGCTGTTGCTGAAGTGACTGGTGGGTACACTTGGTTTGAAGCAGGTCAGTATTGTTCTCAGAAAAGTCCTATCGACTATGCTCATGTAATTCTAAGTACAGAATGGGACCCAGAATGTTCGCAGTATCAAGTTGAAAAGTCCTGGAAAGCGCTACAACAAAGGTTAGAGTTAACTACAACAACCCTATGAGTGTTTGCTATCACGAATTTGCAATTTCTTATCTGCTAATTTGACGCTATGTATTCAATTGGTTGAGTTTTTATAATGAATTTCACTTATGGAACAAACATGATTTCTTAGCTAGTTGAACTTTTTCTATTAGTCGATATTTCTATGACCGTGCATAATAAACCATTATTATTTTCGATTAGTTTTGATTTAATTGCAAAAGACACTCTACAATCAGGAGGATGTTTTTCACACAATGAGCATTGTTCTAAAAAAGATCGTATTTGTTGAAGGATAATATTGTTTTAGTCGGTTATTGTGAATCTGTTTGAAAAATCAGATACAGTTTTGGTTTCTAGACTAAAATTCCATTCAGCTAAATTTCATGACATGTGGTTATAATTGGTCTAACCGAAACTCTTTATCTTGTCGGTGGGAATAACCGTATTTGTCTCTGTAAATCAGTGAAGTTATACTGATTATAGGACACTAGTTTAAGGTCTTACTAGACATCTAAGTTCGCTTAAAGAATAGGGAACTTACAGGCAACTGTCGTAGGGTTGAGTTATCACGCTTTGATGGGGTTCAAGAATGAGGTCATACTATGGATTGGATATGAATATAGTGCTTTCTCCCGGTAAATGGTAGTCCTAATGGTATTTTCTGATTCTGGAAAAGAGGCAACAAAGACCATCTCGTGATGTTCGCCTAGATAATCATTTCTTCTCAGACAGCGTCAACTTTAAGCACAAAGAAATAGTAGCAAACGAAACCAAGTAATGTCTTAACTCATTTAAATCACATTACTATTAGTGACCATCAGTAGAAAGAGCTACCACTTGGTTTCGAAATAAGGTTAAGTAAGCTAGGTTGGTAGTTATGAGTTACTTTGGTCCTGTTGGAGGGTTTAGCGCCATTTCTGTGTTAGTTACTGGGCCTTAGGCTCTGCCTGTAGGTTTCGAAATGCTTAGGATTCACACTCGTCAGATATATAGTAGGAGTTTATATAAGTCTGAGGAAACTATGCAAATTTCAGATGTTATCAGTCAGATTATTGTGAGCACAGTTTCGTGCCCTCTACATGGACCATATTTCTCCACATCAAGATGGCATTCCACTTTTTCAGCTGGGAGATTACGTATAAGTGTCTGACTCGAGTGTCGATGAAACATGTGATTCCTAAGTATTCACTCGAACATATGATATAAGGGATGGTTTACAATATTCTTTTTTCGTACGTATATTACGACAATACGTTAATAAGACTAACCACGTTATATCAGAACCAGGATTCGCGACCTAAACAGAGAACCAGATTAACACCAGAGAATACTTTATCCAATACAATTACAATCAGTCACATACAGTGAGTCTAAAATAAAAACCAACGATCAGAAGAAAAATCACATTTAATAGTCCGTAGGTTATAGCTGTTTGTCCACGTTCAACGACCAATCATATGTTAACTTCACCATCACACATCAATATAATGCTAAAATCTGAGCTAACGACAATGAGTAGTAGCAATAATAAATAAGTTCATTGTTATAATTCGTTTAGATAATCCTGTCAGAGGCGGGTATGTTTGCTTTCAGTTTCGAGGATTTAGATCTTTTAGTTAGAATAATTACCTGTTATACAAAAAAGTTAAGACAACACAGGGGTTGGCGCGTCGTGAGAAATAATCCGACATACATCCTATACTTGCGAGACGTGGTTTTATCATTTTAACTTACTGACTGAACATTTATTTTGAGATGACATGATCCAGTTTTTTCGTAGTTATTCATTTTCAACATTAAAATCGGATTGCTTAAAACATGCTTGTTGAGGATGGATGAAAAACACAAACACTTGAGCACACATGTGTAGTGGAACTACTCATTTCGAGACGACATACAGTTTTTGTACAATAAGAGTAGATCGCTTGATGTTCAGAGCTTTCTATAACTCAAGTGGTCGTGAAGTGTGTTACAGTTGCTGAGTCATTGCTTTATAGTGACTCACGTGCAATTGAGTTTAGTTCAGTCAAGGTCTTTTGTTGACCTATTTAATGGACAAAGTCATCCATGATATAACAACTTGTTGTACTATCTTTATTATTACGCTTGTATGAAATACATATGCTTGAACATTGTTTAGCGCCTACGCATGTATTCATTCTGCTAGCTTCATTATTAACTGCTTAGTCTATTCGCTGACTCATCCATTTTCCTATACATATATATATGTGTACATTTGCACCCAACTACTACTACAACTACTTGCTACTGCTACGAGCGTAGTTCGCTTGCTCATTCATTTTGCCTCTCTGCTGTCTGGTCCGAATTATCTACTAAATAAACTGTAGTAGCTGCTTCTTTTTGCCTTCTGATTTCAAACATCGTTGAAGATTATACGATAACGGTTCGAGGGTGATTAATTATCGAAGCACAGCCACTACAGAATTGGTAATCCCGACGTGAGAACGGAAGCAAATTTTGGTGAAATAATCAAATCCCAAAAATCCGATTCTTTTCATCTCAATTTGGATTATCAAATGAACTATAATTGCAACTGTGGATTTATATTATTATTTTAATTACACTCACATTATTTCGCAAACATTATTAAACGTGACAATTATAATCATAATAAATAACAATTATTCATAAACAGTTGATATATTGGTGCAATTTAGTAAGTCTGTTCCATTTTTTTATTATCATTGTTTTTGCTCATCTATTCTTCCTTGTGACTGTTAAATTATTTTCGTGTGCTACTTAATTTTTATAAGCATGTCTTATGAAAACACAGTTTCAAGCGTACAGCAAGCCTCGTCCGTGAGGTCTCTTAACCTCCCTGCCCCTTTTAAAATCACAGACCCAAAACTTTGGTTTATAAGACTTGAAAATTATTTTCTCGCTAACCGCATTTTTTTGCAAAAGCATAAGTTCGGCCTGACAAGCACACTACTCCCAGACGAAGTAGCTGACAGCGTTCGAGAGGCACTAGCAAAACCAGACACAGAAAAACCATACGACGTGCTAAAAGAGGCAGTAATTAAAGCTCTCTCTCTCAGTGACCAACAAGCCGTCGAACAACTCCTTAGCCAAGTACAAATTGGAGATAGAACCCCATCACAACTAAAAAATTATATGAAAAGTCTACTTGGCGATAGACACATTGACAATAATCTCTTTTATCAGCTGTGGCTCCGCCGACTCCCGGCAAATATACAGCAGATCCTAGCTGTGGGAGATACGGATGCTGATTTAGACAATATAGCAAAGATAGCCGATAGAATATACGAAAGAAGCAAGCAAGCAATCCCTCTACTACACAACGTGACGGTAGACGATAGACTTGATACTCTACAGAAGGAAATAAATGTTTTATGCCGCAAACTCACAGAATTAATGCACAGAGAAGAGCCACGAAGGTCATCGCGAGATCGCTCGCGTGAAAGGACCCGGTCAACGTCTAGACGATGCACAACTCCCGCGATATGTTGGTATCATCAAATGTTCGGCTACAGGGCTAGAAAGTGCCTACAACCTTGTAGATTTAACAGGGCCAGTAACCGATACCCACGATTATCAATGGCAACGGCATCAACACACATAATGCCTGAAAATAGTCGCCTCTTTTATATACAAGACCGAACCACTGGCGCACAATTCTTAGTTGACACTGGAGCGGAAATTAGCGTAGTACCTCCATTTAACGAGGAAAGAAAAAACATTAATCCGTCATTAGTGCTAAGAGCAGTAAACAAATCAGATATTAAGACATATGGTAAACGGAAATTGTCCCTAGATTTTGGACGTGGCGCTTCATACCGTTGGAACTTTGTCATAGGAGACGTATCGATGCCCATAATAGGCATAGATTTCTTATGTAACTTTGACCTGCTAGTAGACTCTAGACGACACAGACTTATAAACGGCAGTCAAACCACTTCGATAAGAGGAATACTTACGGAAACCGTCTCAATGAACCTTGTGATAGATAAAAGTCGTGGTGATCCATATAAATTGTTGTTAAGGGAATTCCCTGAACTCGTAAAAGTAACATACAATAAAGCGGATCTCAAACATTCTATTCAGCATCACATCGTAACGAATGGTCCACCAATCAATGCAAGACCAAGAAGGTTAGATCCCAAAAGACTAGCCATCGCAAAACAGGAATTCGACAAGCTAATGAGGCTAGGCATTATAAGGCCATCGAGCAGCCCGTGGGCATCCCCGCTACATATGGCCCCGAAAAAGAATGGAGAGGTTAGGCCATGTGGAGATTACAGAGCACTGAACAAACAAACAGTAGCTGACAGATACCCTATACCGCACATCCATGATTTCACCTACAGTATAGAGGGCACTACTATCTTCTCGAAGATCGACTTAGTCAGAGCATACTACCACATCCCTGTTGCCCCACAAGACATACCGAAGACAGCAGTAACAATCCCATTTGGGCTATATGAATTCCTGCGTATGCCTTTTGGACTGACTAACGCGGCACAAACCTTTCAACGGTTTATAGACCAGGTCATTAGAGGTTTACCTGGAGTATACGCGTATATCGACGATTTATTAGTAGCTAGCACCACTAAAGATGAGCATATACAACAACTACGGCAATTATTTATACGACTCAGAGAACATGGTATTTCTATAAATATTGAGAAGTGTGAATTCGGAAAAGAATCTTTACAGTTCCTAGGTCACAATATAACTTCTCAAGGCATCACACCAATAGCAACAGAAGTCGACGCCATTAGGAATTATCCCCTACCCGACTCATGGAAAAAGTTACGCCGATTTCTCGGGTTAATAAATTATTACAGACGATTTATCCCGAATTGCGCGTCAATATTGCAACCACTAACAGATGCATTACGCGGAAACGCACGGACATTCCAATTATCACCAGACGCGATTCAAGCATTCGAGAACGCTAAAAAAGCACTAAATAAAGAAGTGACACTAACTAGACGAATGAGCGAAACACCGTTAGCTATCATGACGGATGCATCAGACGTAGCGGTAGGAGCCGTTTTACAACAATTAGTAAATGGCATATGGGAACCGCTCTCATTTTTTTCGAAAAGACTGAATCCGACACAAACAAGGTATAGTACTTTCGGAAAAGAACTCCTAGCGATTTACTTGGCAACAAAACATTTCCGACATATGATTGAGGGTACCATTTTCA